CGGGAGGGGGGCGGCCACGCAGGCATGCACACGCACGTGCACATACATGCGCACGCTCCGGCACGCCCGTGCGTGCACACACACACACACACGGTCACGCACACACACACACACACACACACACATCCAGATGCAGACACAGGCATGCTCGTGTACGCCTGCATGCACACAGATACATGCACACACGTGCGTGTCCATATGCAGGTACAGACACACCTGCACACACATGCACATCGCTAGGCAGACACAGGCATGCCCGTGCATACATGCATGCACGCACATACATGCACCCACGTGCGCATCCATATACAGACGCAGGCACACTCATGCACACACGCACATATTCATATACAGATGCAGGCACGCCCATGCACACATGCATGCACACTCATACATGAGCATACACACACGTGCACATCCATATGCATATGCAGGCATGCCCATGCACACATGCATGCACACACATGCACACACATGCACATCCCTAGGCAGACACAGGCATGCCTGTGCATACATGCATGCACACACATACATGCACCCACATGCGCATCCATATACAGATGCAGGCGCACACATGCACACACGCACATATTCATATGCAGACACAGGCACGCCCATGCACATATGCATGCACACTCATACATGAGCACACACACGTGCACATCCTTATGCATATGTAGGGACACCCATGCACACATGCATGCACACATACATAAGTGCACACATAGGCAAGGAGCAATGGGCTCAAGCTGCAGCAAGGGAAGTTGAGGTTGGATATTAGGAAAAACTCTCAGTAGGAGGGTGGTGAAGCACCGGACCAGGCTCCCCAGAGAGGTGGTGGGATCCCCATCCTGGGAGGTTTTGAAGCCCTGGGTAGACAAAGCCATGGCTGGGATGATGTAGTTGGGGCTGGTCCTGCTTGGAGCAGGGGGTTGGACTAGCTGTGACCCCCTGAGGTCCCTTCAACCTGTGGTTCTATGACAGATCCTTTACACATACAGGCATGCACATGTGCACCCATACATGCACACATACGTGTATGCACACACATGCCCATATATGCACACACATGCACATGCAGACACAGGCACACAGGCACAGACATGTACACATAGAGGCAAGTACATGCAGATACACACGGACATGTACAGACACACATACACACATATACTCACACATGCACATTCATGCACAGGCATGCATGCACACACAGGCATGCATATGCACACACATGCATGCCAATGCATGTGCGCATGTACACACACGTGCACACATGTGGGCAGACATGCACACACACATATACACAGACACACACACACACATGTGCACACACAGGGCCAGGGGCTGGTGGGCTGCTACATGTGCCTGACATCCTAGCACTAACACACATGTGCACACACACACACACACACACACCCTGGGGTGCAAAGGCAGCAGTAGGGGGTCAGATCCGTGCATCTCACATACCAGCTTGGACCCCAACAGCGGTGCACACACCCGACAGCTGTGTCCACTTCATGCATCTGACATCTCAGCCTTCAGTCATGCACACCCCCACATGCACACGTATGCTTGCACACCTGCACGCATGCATGTGCATGTACATACATGGCTAGTAGCAGAGTATCTGTTACATACACGTGACACCCCAGCCTCTGCGCACACACACTCACACATGCACACAGAGCCATGGCAGTGTGTGTACTACATGTATGTGACATCTCAGCTTTCACACACACACACACACACACACACACATGCCTTGTGTGGGGATTAGACCCTGACTGCTACTAGCCAAAGAGACCACTGGGAGAGCCTGACCCAGCTGCATGTGTCCCTGGCTTCCTGCATGGGCTCTGCTTACCCTCCCCTTCCTTGCTGCCTCGCTGCCTGGAGCGCCTGGCAAGGATCCTGCCTGAGGGAGGGGGTGGGTCCTGGCATGGAGCCGCAGAGCCAGGTGCTTTGCCAGGTGCCAGGGAGCTCTCCCTTTTGTCAGAGCGGCTTTGCTTCCTTGGCTCTGGCTGCGAGGGGTTGGGCCAAACCCTGATCTCCTGCTAGTGGGGTGAGGCATGTTTCAGTGCATCGGATGCCACCCCAAAACAATGAGACACGAGCTATTCCCAGCTCAGCCACAGACTGACTTTGCACAAGGCTATCGGTCTCCCTGGGCCTGCTCCTGCTCCAGCCCATGGGTGTCTGAAGAGTGTGCTCAGGTGCCTAAGAGCCGTTTTGTTCTACCTTGTTCCAGCGCTGTCAGACCATGGATGCACCGGCTGCAATGCATGGCCATTAGACCCTTGGACTGCATCAGATCCAGCAGCGAGGAGGACAGGACCCACCTGCCTCTGGCATGGGCTCTTTCTCAGGGACTCAAGCAGGCAAGGCATGGCTTGAGTAGCAGCAGGTTGAGGGACGTGATTCTTCCCTCTATTCAGCACTGGGGAGGCCACATCTGGAGTCCTGTGTCCAGCTTTGGCCCCCCACTACAGAAAGCATGTGGACACATTGGAGAGAGTCCAGCGGAGGGCAACAACAATGGTTGTGGGGCTGGGGGACAGGACTGGTGAGGAGAGGCTGAGGGGAATGGGCTGATTGAGTCTGGGGAAGAGAAGACCGAGGGGGATTGAATAGCAGCCTTCACCTCCCTGCGGGGGGGCTACAAAGAGGATGGAGCTGGGCTGGTCTCAGTGGGGGCAGACGACAGGACAAGGAGCAATGGGCTCAAGCTGCAGCAAGGGAAGCTGAGGTTGGGTATTAAGAAAAAATTCTCAGTAGGAGGGTGGTGAAACACTGGGACAGGCTCCCCACAGAGGTGGTGGGATCTCCATCCTTGGAGGTATCTAAGACCCAGGTAGACAAAGCCTTGTCTGGGATGATGCAGTTGGGGCTGGTCCTGCTTTGAGCAGGAGGTTGGACTAGATGTGACCTCCTGAGCTCCCTTCAACCTGAATTTTCTCTCTTCAATTTGTCCACCTCCTCTCTGCAGTGGGGGGCCTAAAACTGGACACAGGACTCCAAAAGTGGCCTCCCCAGTGCTGAATAGAGGGAAGAATCACTGCCCTCAATCTGCTGGCAATGCTCCTGCTAATACATCTGAGTACACCATTAGCCTTCCTGGCACCACGGGCACACTGCTGGCTCCTGTCCAGCTGCTTGTCCCCTGTCCCCCCAGGTCCTTTCTGCAGAGCTGCTGCCCGGCCCGTCACCCCCAGCCTGCACCAGTGCAGGGATTGTTCCCTCCTAAGTGCAGGACTTTGCACTTGTCCTTGTTCAATCTCAGAAGATTTCTTTTAGTCCAATCCTCCAAGGTGTTGAGATGTCTCTGAATCCTACCCTCCTGTGTGTCCCTGGGCAAATCCCTTACCTCCAGCTTTGCCCAGGAGGCCAAAAAATGCCCCGTGCCTCATCTTCTGAGTGCCCATTGTGGGCCGCACCTGGAAGTCACTGCTACGGGACGTGGTGGATGCTGGTAGTGTTACCTAGCTCCAAAGGGGACAGGACAAATTCTGGGAGGAAAGGTCCATTAGGAGGTACTGAACGGGGCTGAGAGGGGGCAGCCTCTGAACCAGAGCTGCCTTCACCTCTGCGGGCTGAAAGCTGTGGTGGGAGGGGAGCCATGGGGGTGGGAAATCCTGCCCATACCATTTGGCCTTCTCTCAGCATCTGCTCTCTGCCATTGTGGGAGACAGGCTATGGGGAGACCCAGCAAATGGCAGTGTTTGTGCCTGAAAGTGCAAGCGCGCCCAGCTGCAGCTGAGCTCTGCCAGTCGCTGGGTGCCGGCTCTCCAGGACCCGGCAAGGCGCAGCAGACATCTCCGTCGGATGCACCAAGTGAGCAGGGTGCTTTGGCTTATCTTCTCCCCGAGCTTCCCCCTTGCCAGGTGAGTTCGTTAAGGCGTATGAGGATGAGCACATGGCAAAGCCCAGGGGGAAATGCCTGAACCTGTCTTCATAGCAACAATAACACAACGGGCCGAAACCAAGAGAAGCAGCCAGGCACCAAGCACCGGCAGGGAGGGGAAAACTCCATGAAGGGGCCTGGACTATGCGGTGCAAGAGGCAGGGGCCTGGGGAGAAAAATAGCCTGCTTTTGCCATGGGAGGGTGTGTGTCTGCATGTGCAATTGAAAAGCGAGGGCTTCCCTAACCCTGGTCCCAGCTTTCCTGAATGCTGGAGAGCTTCACTGCTCCCCTGGCTTGGACTGGGGGGGTATTGTGTGTGTGAGTACGCAGGGATAATTATACAGCTGCAAAACCCCCTGATTCAAAGCCAGCAGTCAGGAAGGCGTTGCCGCATCTTCATCATCACACGGAGAGGAGGGGGGCTGCATTGTTCTTCCAGCCAGCCCTGGCTTACGAACGGAAACACGCCGGGTGGACTGGGGGAACGGGAAAAGAAGCCGAGCGAGGCCATCATGGCAGTGCCCCGGGGCGCCGTGTCTCAGCTGCAGAGGGGAGAGCACCTGGACTTTGCCCAGTTTGCAAACAGAAGTGAAAGGAGCTGCCCCACCTCGCTGCATGCCAGGCTGGGCCGTTCCCACGGGGCCGAGGAGTGTGAGACCCAATCCACGGGAGCACGTGGCAGTGCTAGACTCCCCAGTCTGGAAGGGACCCCCTGCCCAGCACGTCTCCGTCTCCTCTTGGAAAC